CCCCCCCTCCATAAACACTCCCAGTCATATGAGAACCAATTTTGAGCAAGCTAGCAACTAGAATGGATTTCTTGTTTTCCCAGATATGATGCAGTCAGCTAAAAGATTTAAGAAAGACAAAGAATCAAAATTGAAGATGAAAAGTTTCTCTGCAATCTATATACGAGTTGCAATCCAATTTTTCTTTAGCGCTACAATTTTAGATTTTTGTGATATTAAGATTTTTTCTAAAATTTTACATTAATTTGAAATCACATTCTTAGAAAAGCTATCCTTAACTTATAAATATAACAAATATATAAAAAACTAATTTCTCAGTATAAACAAAACTGGGTATAACCCAATATTCATAGGGATTAAGAGGCGACTTAAATGCTTTTTAGATTTTATATACTTATGAATAAAACGGTTCTATAGCAATTAAGTTGTTTGCCCTAGTAATTCAAAATAACAGATATATACTGAAATATATTTATATTTGATTTATTTCAAATCTGATTTGGTTCAGCCTTCCATCCAAATATATCTTAGAAACAGGTTTAGCATATTTTTAGCTATTTTATCAATTGAAATCTGTGCACAATTTATTAATTATTTTAACTCCATCAATCATTTAAGAAATTCTAAAAATGACAGAACACATGTTTAAAAGCCCAAAACAATTTAGTGGAATATTTTACAATAATAACTGTCTTCATAAAAAAAGTAGTGTAGTTGAAAAACGAAAGGTTGGCACTCTATTCACATGATTATTGAGACACCCTGTATATTCTAAATGTCATTCATGCAAACCAGTTGATTTTATAAAACTTCTTATTTGGTAAAATCAAACAGATATATATTTAGCTTTTTAAAAAATTTAAATTAAGACAGGATAAAATTTACTTTTATTACCTTTAATGATACTAACTAACCCAGGTTGAAATGAGAAAAGCACTGTCCTGCACCATCAGCCTAATCCTCTCATCTAAACCTGAAAACCATAGTTTGGTATATCAAGAGGTTCACAGTACAAACAGTACGAGTAGGGATAAGTATTAGCTTTTTTGAAAACGACTTTGATCGTTTCGCGATACAACATAAATAAAACGGAAAGTTTGTAATCAAAAATAAAACAAACTATCGCGTTTTAAAACCAAATGATTGTTTTTAATAATGTTTTCGTTTTTAAAAAGAATATAAATATGCCATGATGGTGTCACCACTACCAGAAGGAAAATTCACAAAAATGCACTTTGTGTATTTTTCTAACCAATTTTTTATGAAAAATTTTAACTAAAACGAAAGGTTAAAACTATGGTTTTCAATAACTGAAAAAATATGCACTGAATTTTAACTATTCATTAAAACAAAGAAGGTTCGTTTGTTTCAAAAAATTCAAAACGAAACGAAACCACGGAAAGATGTTAACTGGTCCACGTCTTTAATGGAACTGAACTCAAATGCTTGTCAACCCTTGCACCGGCTACCTTAATGAATTGCAGGGGTAATACTACTTTGTATAGAATACCACCCTGGTAGACATAAATATATAAATAGGCAATGGATCCTTTAAAAGAGAAAGTGTTTAGAATTTGATTCTAAAATAAAGGTAACATGTTGCATGGTTAAAGAAAAGGAAACAGGGTTGGCAAAATATACGTGACAATTCCTTTAAACACTGGGTGGTTCTTGGTTAGTCGGTGGAATGAAATTATTATTATCATACATAACAAATAGTCAAATTGAGATTTTGAGGGAATAATTAAAAAAAAAAACTGTTTAAAGACTGAAAAACAAAATATCTTTTATAGACTCAGAAGATCAAAAAGTATCTCCAAAGAAAGACATTAAAAGCAAAAACCAATTAATTTTTTGAATTCTTTTATCAGCGTTTAAAGTTGTTGCGCCTATTGTGTATGACATTCTGAAATATTTGGTTTAAAATGTGAAACCCTTTTCCAGGAAGAATTTTCGGGGTTCAGAGGCCCAAACTTTTGTATTTTAAACCTGTAGGCTGAGACGTTACGATTTATATAAAATAGACAGAAAGAGGAGCTCAACCTAACGGGGGCAGATAAAGGATTTAAGTGAGGGGGGTGTTAGATTTATTTCGGAACAAAAAAATCCAGATTTAGGAACAAATAGACATACCGCAGGCGAAAAAAAATTTAAGCTATTCTGAAATCTCAGGGGGGGAGACTTCCCCCCCTGAATCTGTCAGGGGCGTGCAAAGGTCCTGCCGCCCCTTCCCCGTATCGCCCTGCAACCTGCCATTACTGCAGGTACAGCTTTGCTGCCACGTAGATCCTGCAGTTTTGGTTTTGCATATAATGAAAAACGAGAATTTATGTTTAATATTAAAAATTAAAAATATATTTGTTCCTCTCTGTATTCCTTCAATAAGAGAGGAGTTATGATTGAAAAATGAAAACATATAATATTGCAATCTTACGTACATTTTCATTAGTTTGACTTGTTTGTGCGATGGGAACATATCAACGAGGTTATAGTGTATAGAGTGATGATGTACGCTAATCCTTTACTAATTGTTTAGACCATAAACTATACCGAGAGCGTACTTATTTGTTTATTATAAGGAAATTCTGCAGCCTAACCTATAGTACATCATTATTAGTAAACAGTTGTAAATGCAGTACAGTACAGCTAACTGAGCACACAGGTAGGAAACTATCATCCCCCTGGAATATATAGACAACTTTCACTGATATTTAAAGAATTAAACCTCGATTAAAAAGTGTGAACGTGGTTATCGAGTTTTGTCTCATACAAAATTGACGGGCTCCGGGGTTCAGGCCCAGGGAGGGAAGGAAGGCCAACCACGACGATTTCTCGTCCGAGCCACATTCTCATCATTTTCTCGCCCGAGACGCTCGAAATTCTCGTCCTTCCTACTGATAGAGATGCATATTTATAGAACATCGTTTATGGCGCATATTCATTTTTACACAAATTGGGTTGGACATTTTAAAAAAATAATATTGGAAGCTGACAAGGATTTCGAGGTGGCTTGGACGAGAAAATTAGGAGAATGTGGCTCGGACGTGATATTGTTGTGGTTGGCCTTCCTCCCCTCGTTTCAGGTGTTAGTTGGTGGTTTGTTAGTTTCACCGGAAGCACAGGGCTAAAGGGCAGAGATTAATATCATACTTTCTGTTTTGTTCTGATACTTATTTAGTTCTTTCATTCTTTTATTTATTTTTATTTATTCAAGCCTTGATCATTTGTTTTGTTTGGGTCAATTCATTCATTTATTTAGAATTCGTTTTATTCATTCATTTTCATTTGCTCATTCTTTTATTCGAACAGTTTTTCTTTCATTCTTTTTATTTGCTTTTCTTCATTTCTTTATATAGTTTTCCTTTCATTTCTTCATTTTTTAGTATTCTCATTTCTTTTTATTTGTTCTTTTATTTAATTTAATTTATACTCATTCACTTTTGTAGTTTTCATTATGTTCATTCTTATAATTTTTAAATTCATTCAGTTTTAAATGTTTATTCTAATAATTAGGTTTCTTTCTGTACATTCAAATATTCAGTTTTCTTTAATTTATTTAATTTTTTTATTTCTTAATTTATTTAGTTTTTTATTTCTTAATTTATTTAGTTTTTTATTACTTAATCTATTTAGTCTTTTTTATTTCTTAATTTATTGTTTTCAAACTATTCATGTATTAATTCAGTTTTTTTTTTTAAATGATTTATTTATTTAGTTTTTTATTTCTTAATTTATTTAGTTTTTTATTACTTAATCTATTTAGTCTTTTTTATTTCTTAATTTATTTAGTTTTCAAACTATTCATGTATTAATTCAGTTTTTTTTTTTAAATGATTTATTTATTTAGTTTATTTTTATTAATCTTTTAGTTGGTTTTTTTTATATTTTTATTTTTATTCAATAATTTATTTATTTTATTTTTACTATTATTTATTGATATTCATTATTATTTTTACAATATTTTTAAAAGCTTATTTTCTTAATGCTTTAAATTCTTTCCGTGAAATATTTTTTCACATTTGCTTTGTTTGACTTTTTTATAGTTTAGTTTAAAATCAAGATAGATTTTTTTCTCAGATTGTTTCTTCTTTAAATCTGTCTTAATTACAAAGTTACTTTTTTCTCAGATTGTTTCTTCTTTAGTTCTGTCTTATTTACAAAGTTACCTTTTTCTCAGATTGTTTCTTCTTTAGTTCTTTCTTATTTACAAAGTTACCTTTTTCTCAGATTGTTTCTTCTTTAGTTCTGTCTTATTTACAAAGTTACCTTTTTTCTCAGATTGATTCTTCTTTAGTTCTGTCTTATTTACAAAGTTACATTTGAATTTCCGAGCCGGGTCAACCTTTCCGGTTCCAGTTTGTACTGTATCGCCCGGACATTGGGTAAAGAAAGCAGACACTCAATAGGACTAGCCGGTGCAACAAGGTTGACGCGGTCAGACTTTAGGTTGAATTTACTTTTACTAAAGGGTCAGAGGTGCGTGGTATGGACAAGAATAAAAAACTTAAGAAATATTTTCAATTTTTGTATCTCTCTGAACGACTTCCAATTGAGAAAAAATAGCCAGAAAAAAAATTTCATTAATTTTCAGAAAAATCAGTTTAAAGGGTACCATTGGGAATCTTGCATGCCCTTTTTTTAACTGAAGGGTCACTTTAACTATAATTGAATTATATGCTAATAGTTACTAATTTTTCACCACAAAATTGCTGTAGAAGAACAGACAAGCAGTTTCCCATGCAGACAAATTCATCCTTGTACATTCAATTAACATTCCACAACTATTTAAGTTAAAACTAGGGGTGGGGAATGGGATAGTAGTATGGGGGGGGGGGGGTTATGTGACATGATTGAAATTTATGTAATCAAATGCAATTATTACACATATGTAAACTGACATTGCTACAACAATACAGTGCTATTGTTGAAAAGATAATTGCAACCTTGCACAAGTGAATAAATAAATCAAAGGTTTCAGATAAAAACTTTTAAATGGACGGATTGAGTTAAACTCTCTATAAGTTTTTCTTCTATTTCATTTTGATTTTGAAATTCAACAAGTTATTAACCCATTAAAGTATTATATCTATCTATATATATATACTTTGTTTGGGTGTCTGTATGTTTGTCTGTTTGTATCCCATAAACGTCAAAACGACTGAACCGATTGGGCCCCAATTTTTGTGGAACCTCACGTGATCCAAGGGAAGGTTTATGAATGATCAAAATTTCAAAAATTTGCCTCCAACAAAATTTTATTTTCATTAAATTTTTGAAAATTTTAAAAATCCACGATATTTTTTGTTTGAAAGCATTGAATATTTTTGTTTTGTTTTACAATGTACACAAAG